CGGTTTGCGATTTCAATGTAAACCAATGGGGAATGATCAAATAGGTGAAAACTGACATTCTTGCAGTAAATTAAGCCTCTTTGAGACCTTTTGCGATTTCAATGTAAAACAATGGGGAATGATGAAATAGTTGAAAACTGACATTCTTGCAGTTACTTGAGTCTTTTTGAGAACGTTTGCGATTTCAATGTAAACCAATGGGGAATGATCAAATAGGTGAAAACTGACATTCTTACAGTAACTTGAGTCTTTTCAATGTAAACCAATGGGGAATGATCAAATAGGTGAAAACTGACATTCTTGCAGTTACTTGACTCTTTTTGAGACGGTTTGCGATTTCAATGTAAACCAATGGGGAATGATCAAACAGGTGAAAACTGACTTCTTGCAGTAACTTGAGTCTTTTTGAGACGGTTTGCCATTTCAATGTAAACCAATGGGGAATGATCAAATAGGTGAAAACTGACATTCTTGCAGTTACGTGAGTCTTTTTGAGACGGTTTGCGATTTCAATGTAAACCAATGGGGAATGATCAAATAGGTGAAAACTGACATTCTTGAAGTAACGAGTTTTTGAGACCGTTTGCAATTTCAATGTAAAACAATGGGGAATGATCAAATAGGTGAAAACACATTCTTGCAGTTAATTGAGCCTTTTTGAGACGGTTTGCGATTTCAATGTAAACCAACGGGGAATGATCAAATAGGTGAAAACTGACATTCTTGCAGTTACTTGAGTTTTTGAGACGGTTTGCGATTTCAATGTAAACCAATGGGGAATGATCAAACAGGTGAAAACTGACTTCTTGCAGTAACTTGAACCTTTTTGAGACGGTTTGCAATTTCAATGTAAACCAATGGGGAATGATCAAAAAGGTGAAAACTGACATTCTTGCAGTAACTTGAGTCTTTTTGAGACCGTTTGCGATTTCAATGTAACCCAATGGGGAATGATCAAATAGGTGAAAACTGACATTCTTGCAGTTTGAGTCTTTTTGAGACGGCTTGCGATTTCAATGTAAACCAATGGGGAATGATCAAATAGGTGAAAACTGACATTCTTGCAGTTACGTGAGTATTTTTGAGACGGTTTGCGATTCCAATGTAAACCAGTGGGGAATGATCAAACAGGTGAAAACTGACATTCTTGCAGTAACGAGTCTTTTTGAGACGGTTTGCGATTTCAATGTAAACCAATGGGGAACGATCAAAAAGGTGAAAAATGACATTCTTGCAGTAATTTGAGTCTTTTTGAGACCGTTTGCGATTTCAATGTAAACGAATGGGGAATGATCAAATAGGTGAAAACTGGCATTCTTGCAGTAATTTGAGTCTTTTTGAGACGGCTTGCGATTTCAATGTAAACCAATGGGGAATGATCAAATAGGTGAAAACTGTCTTGCAGTAACTTGAGTCTTTTTGAGACGGTTTGCGATTTCAATGTAAACCAATGGGGAATGATCAAATAGGTGAAAACTGACATTCTTGCAGTAACTTGTCTTTTTGAGACCGTTTGTGATTTCAATGTAAACCAATGGGGAATGATCAAATAGGTGAAAACTTACATTCTTGCAGTAACTTGAGTCTTTTTGAGACGGCTTGCGATTTCAATGTAAACCAATGGGGAATGATCAAATAGGTGAAAACTGACATTCTTGCAGTAACTTGAGTCTTTTTGAGACGCTTTGCGATTTCAATGTAAACCAAAGGGAATGATCAAATAGGTGAAAACTGACATTCTTGCAGTTACGTGAGTCTTTTTGAGACGGTTTGCGATTTCAGTGTAAACCAATGGGGAATGAACAAATAGGTGAAAACTGACATTCTTGCAGTTACGTGAGTCTTTTTGAGACGGTTTGCGATTTCAATGTAAACCAATGGGGAATGATCAAATAGGTGAAAACTTACATTCTTGCAGTAACTTGAGTCTTTTTGAGACGGCTTGCGATTTCAATGTAAACCAATGGGGAATGATCAAATAGGTGAAAACTGACATTCTTGTTCTTTTGTCACCTGGCAGATCTTTTCTCTTAAATCCTTCTTTTAAGGTTGTTATTTGATCTGCCATACCCGCTGCCTCTACAATTGTGGATGGCTTGCGATCCTGAATCACCCAACGAATATCATAAGGCACTAGTTGGAAAAACTGCTCCAGCTTCAAAAGTTCCCTCAGCTGTTGATAATCTTCCACCTCAGATGTCCTTATCCAACTATCGAACAGTTGAGACAATCTTGAGGCCACCTGACCAAAACTTTGAGTTTTATCTTTCTTTAATGTCCTGAACTTAAATCTATAATATTCAGGAGTCAATCTAAATTCTTGTTGAATCTGTTTCTTAAACAGATCATAGTCTCCATATGAATCCTCAGACATCTGTCCATAAATCTGCAAAAGTTTCCCACTTATCTGAGGCCTTAGGTATGTCATCCATTTTTCCTTAGCCACCCCAAAATCTCGACAACATCTCTCAAAAGATATTAGGAATTTCTCTGGATCATCGTCTTTGTTGAATTTTGGGAATTTCTTCATCAAATCTGGGGTATTTCCTCCAGATCTTCCCTCCTGGGTTCCACTGGCTGTTTGAGACAAAGCCAATCTTTGTTTCTCTAGCTCAAACTCCATTCTCTTCAATTCTAACTCCTGTTCTCTCTCTCTCTGTTTTTCTTCAAACTCTCTCTGTTTTGCCTCCATCTCCAATCGTTTCATCTCTAACTTGTACTTAAAAGCCATCTCTGAGAAAGGTATTGGCTCATCTGTTTCAGAGCTCGAATTTTCCTCTACTCTTTCCTCAGCTAGCTTTCTCTGCCGCCTGGTAGCCATTTTTTCAGCAACTTTTACCTCACAACTTATTTTAAAATTAAACTTAAGGCACTCGATTAGTTGTTACACGAATCCCGTCGTCTGCCACCAAATTTGCGAAGCCGCGTCCCCACCGCTCGTTACTACAATTCGAAGCCGTTCACTTGCTGCCACCAAAATATGTGAAGTAGTCTCCAAAAATAAAATAATGGCGTGAAATCCCAACTAAATAGGATCACCACACAAATGTAATGAGAATTTGAGACTTCTAGGTTAAGCTGCCACCCTAATATAAAGAGATATTGGTAATATAATCTCTGTTTCTTCTTATCTGGGTTGTGAGGCCACTTTGGTAGTGTGGATTGTGCAAAACGTTGAAATCAATGGATGAGGCAGGTTTTAAAACACAAAGAGAACAGATTTATTGTCGGAGCGTAACTGTTGCAATATTAACTGTTGAACTTGGCACAAGCTTGATGGTTACAAATATGGCTTAGTTGAGATACATTCAGGTGATGTTACAATTCTTTGACTTCTTCTACAATGAGGTGCTTTAATATTTCAGTTCCCTATTGTGAATATTTACAACTGTTTGTCCTACACAGGATCAAACTAGCGATCTCCAGCCATTCACCACTGGGATCCCTAAACCTCTTTCTTGTTAGATTCCTTCTTTACTCAAGCAATCTAACGAGGTTTCACCTCCAGCTTCCTAACTGGAATAATATTCACAAATCCTAAGAACTGGCTGAATTTACACTACACCACAGAGCCTCAACTGACTCTGCCCCTCAGGGTTTCATTCCCCTGACTGAACTATTATCCCAGAGTCCCCTTTGACTCTGTCCTTCAGGGTCTCATCCGCCTGACTGATTTTAAACTGTCGTTTTCAAACCTTTCCTACTTAAGCTCCGCCCACCTCCTCTGGCCTGTCACCATGGCAACCTATCTCTCTCAGCTAGGTCATGGCTACAATGTAAAGCATAAACACAGTTTAAAACACAGTTATAATAGACACTTCTCTACAGCACCTACTACTACCATCCCAAAATGTGCTCTAGGAGAGGTCTTTGTTAGAAGCAGGAAGTAACCGGGAATTTTTCCTTTTTTAAAAGGCCTCTCGGTGGCCTAACATACCTATGAGTGGGATTTCGGAAATATGACAAAAGTTTTTGGCAATGAATGTTTGCCACTTTGTTACTTTTGTCTGTAAACCGCCCTAAAACCCTTTGGGGAGATAGGGTGGTATATAAATAAAGTATCATTGTTGTTGTTGTTATAAGAGAAAAATTTCATTGCCTTGTGGGTGCCATGAAAACAGGGAATTGCATGTGGCCTTCAATGTGTACTTTGCTCATCCTAGTCTAACGTAATTTAGTTCAGCCATATGAACAAACATCTTGAGATCACTTGCATGCATTCATCCTATCTTATCTTACAGGACAGTTGAAAAAGAAAAAGGAGGAATAATAATAATCATTGATTGGATCTCTAGGGACGTCTCCTTAATTAAATGATACAAGCAAAAACACAAAAGCAGAAATAAAGAAAATGGTCCCTTGTATATTATGTATATATTATATATGAGAGCACAAAAGGGAGAAGAAACACATCACAACAACATACTCATTTCTGAATCAATGTTCAAGATTAATTCCCACATAATCCAATGGTTTCAAGTTTTAGAAATGTGCATAGAGGAAAGGGAGCTTAATCCCAGATCAGAACTACAATGTAGAGATCAGTATGGGCCAATCTGTACATAAATGTTGAACATGGATTTTTTTCTGCTGAATGTTATCACTGTGCAATAGTGATAGAAAGAAAAGTGGGGAATTACTTACCTGTAGACTTTCCACAACAGGCACAGGTGTTACTGGAGCGTGGACAGGTCCCATCCCCTCATAAAATGTGTATTCTGCTTTATCTGTGCTAATGATTGTCCATGAAGCGCCATCATTAATCATTTCTTTATTTGGTTCTTTGGGGCATGGAGTGGCCTTTTTCAAGAAAAATATTATCAGAAATTACTGGCAGCATTTCATATAAAAAGACATGTACTTGTGTTAATGTGGAGAACAGCTTTATTGGGCTACAAAATGTTACAAGTGGCTAATTTCACAAATGCTTTGTCCTGCGGATGAGGATGCTTCACCCAACCAAACCAACCATTTGTTCAGGAAAAGCGCACTCCAACTCCTCTATAGTAGTGCTTCTTAAACTCTGGATCGCAACACCAAATGGGATTTCCTTAGCTCAATGTTGGGGTAAAAAAATGGCAACAGTAAAATGTTACCCAATGTTTACAGTGGATTCTGAAGAAAATGCTTTAGGTGTAGCCCTAGCATATTATTTTTGTTTTGTTTTGTTTTGAATTATTACCATCTGGCAGGCATCACAGGGTGATAAAGACAAGGACAAACAGACTGAGAGATAGCTTTTATCCTTGAGCTGTAACTATATTGAACTCCACAGTTTCAAATTGAGGTAGCATTGGGGGCTATGTGGTGGTGGTTAGGGGTGGAGGGCTGGATGTGTTGTTTTTGTGAACTTACTCTATTCTATATGCAATGCTATTTAGAGTTACGTAAACAAACACAATTCCCCCTTCAGAACTGGCAATTTCCAATCACTCCAGGGACCTTGTGTTGCCCTGATGCAATGCTCCATTAGGGGCAGGAGGAGTTTCCACAGCCTTTGGGATTGAAGCTGTAACCTTATGTATCAGGGGGTAGAAAACTGCTGCAAGAAAATTAGCCTAGTACAAAATATCACTAGTTTGTTAAAGAACTCACTTGAAACTGGATAATTCGCTCTTGGGAAAGGCACAAGTACATTCGTTCCGTGTCTTTAAGGTAGAATGCACACTTATGGAGCTGTGACACTGGATCATCTGCATCTAGTAATGCTGTCTGTTTGTCCACCTTCCGAATTATCTGTAGGCAGAAATAAACATTTAGAACTAAAATGTTATTTCTTAGCATGGAAATATACAGATTTAGTGTGAGTTTTGATGTGTGCATAGTACAGAAAATGATTCTAATTGTGAAAGCCACTGGAGCTATCTAATAGAACTCGAGAGCTTTCAGAACTCAGTCTAAATGTATACAGCTTTTAAAAACATTTCCCCTTTTTTAAATCGTTTTAACTTTATTAATACTTTAAAATTCCAAAACATTACTCACATAGCATTATAGAAACATAGCACTGTCAATTCTATTATTTCTACATTGTTCTAATTTTATCCATTACAGATCATTATTGTAATGTGTTGATGAACTAACCGCTCAACGACAATCTTTATTGGACCTTTGCTGGTTAACAAATGGTTTCCAAGTGCTATCAAATAGATCTTCTTTTAATTCTCCTTTTGCTAATCTTAATTTGTAAATTAACTTTTCCAATAGAGCAGTTGCCCACATCCTGTTTAATCAAATATTCAAAGCATTTTTGTAGCTTACATGCCTAAAAGATAGACAATTTTATTGTTCACATAAAGCCAATGAAGAAAGATATCAGAAAGTAAGGAAAGGATCCTTTAACAGGCTCAGAGCAGAGACTACTTTTGATGCTTGTCTCACAGCTCGTTCTCTTAAGTCTGCTAAATATTTCCCTAAATATTACTTGAGAACACACAAATGCTGGACCACTCTAACAACTACCATGTCAGACTACACAGAAAAGCCATCAAAATGCACAAGCATGTGGACAATTTCAATAGAAAGGAGGAAACAATGAAAATGAATGAAATCTGGCTACCAATATTTTAAAAAACCTCTAAAATCAGGACAGTAAATAAAGAGGAACATTCAAAAAACAGGGGAAATCCAGGCAAGAATCAATCAGGGCCAGCTAACACCTCCCAACAAAGGATTTCCCCAGGCAGGAAGCAGCCAGGCTTTGAAGCTGCAAGGCCATTCAATGCTAATTAAAGTAGCCAACTGCAATATTCACCCTTGCCTCAAGCAGACAAGAGTTCCTTCTTCTACCCTGGATTCCACAGATATATAAACCTCACTTGCCTAGTTTCCAACAGACCCCTCCATCTTGAGGATGCCTGCCATAGATGTGGGTGAAATATCAGGAGAGAACGATTCTGGAAGATAGCCATACAGCCTAGAAAACTCACAGCAGCCCAGTGATTCCAGCCATGAAAGCCTTCGACAACACATCTTTAAAATAGTTGTTAAAAGACAAACTATTACTCCAAGTTAATTAAATTTACCAGTCTTGGGAGTGCCATGCCAGTAACTGAACAAACAAGTTTGACAGTTTGGCCATAATGAATGTAGCCATCTCGAACTGTGAATTCTTCTCCTTCTGATTCATCATCATCCACTACAAAAGAAAAGAAAGATGTTAAGATGACAGAAAATCAGTACACACCAAAAGCACATTTGTGACCAGTACACTCACTCATGCACAGAACAGGTAAAAAGTATAGATTTTCAATAGTTTAAATGTTACTTACAGAGATGAATGTAAAATGCTCCCCATTGTTGTGAACTGGCGTGAAAGTTTCCTCCTTCTACATGTAAATATCTGGTACTGACTGTTTGTGATCGAAGTCTGTTGAACAATGCCACTTTTGTCCCTGATGCGATGCATACTGGGAAACAAAGACAGAGACTTAAATATGCTGTGTATCAAAAAGATTTGCAAAAAATGTTTTAAAGAATATAATGAGTATGTGATGGCAGCTACTGGTAAATGTCTCTTCTTGCATACATTAAACTCTTCAGACGTGAGCTTTAAATACAGCAAAGAAGTATCTATTACAGGTTAAAAAGAAATCTGCAACTAATTCCTATTTTCCAAAGTCCAAACACACATCACAAAAATTGTTGCACTACCCTCTCTTTCACAAGATACTGCCTAGCTAAAACTAAACACCCCTGGGTTTGGTCAGTAATTTGATAGGAAATAGCTTTAAGTCCCATGAGGGAAGAAAGTGAGATAGAAATGCATTAAAGCAGCAAAATCTGGGGCATCTTTTTTGGAATTTCAGCACCTTAAAGTCAAATTCCAGGAATACCACTCATTAATCTTCTATGAACCTTGTGCCTTAATACTACCCTGTTTGCAAAATGTACAGGCAATGGAAAAATCAGGTTGCTTCTTTATGTGCAACTTTGCTTAGTCATATATTCACAGCATCTGGAACCAAGACACTAAGGCAATATCAATTACAGCACAGCCAGTACTAGTTCAAATGTTACTATGAGCAGTGTGAAGCAGCAGGGTTTTCCCTTCAGCAAAATCTCACTTTCTCTTTGCAACATATAAAGCAGAATTGAAAGTCAGCTTGCCAACTTTTGAGTATCAAAATAAAAATAGGAAAAGCAATGGCAGGATTTGTTAGGAAACAGCTCGGTTCTGGCCACTAGCACGACTGGGACCAAATGCCATGTAGTTCTTCTTTTCTGCTTGGTGTTTATTTAATTACTGCGCCCGTACCTGATCTGTCTGATCTGGCCACAGTGGTCCACACATTAGTTCCATCTCGGATGGATTATTGCAATGCACTCTATGTGGGGCTACCTATGAAGACGGTTCGGAAACTGCAATTAGTGCAGAGAGCAGCAGCCAGATTTCTACTGGGAGCAGACTATAAGGAGCACACTACTCCCTTGTAAAAGCAGTTCCATTGGCTGTCTGTGAGCTTCTGGGCCTAATTCAAAGTGCAGGTTATCACTTATAAAGCCCTTTACAGTTCGGGTGCAGCCTATTTGTGTGACCGCATCTCTCCCTTTGAACTAACTCGGGTCTTAAGGTCCATCGAGAGAGCCCTTCTCATGGTCCCACCACCCTCACAAGTACAGCTGGCGGGAACAAGAGAAAGGGCCTTCTCAGTGGTGGACCTCCAGCTTTGGAATGCTCTCCCTAAAGAAATCAGATAGGCTTCCTCCCTAGCTAACTTTAGGAAAGAACTAAAAACCTGGATGTGGAAGCTGGCTTTTGAAAATGGTTGACTACTTTTCATTGTGATAGTGGTCTTTTAGCCTTGTCGATACCTATTGGTTTTAACTGTTTTTAAACCCAGTTCAATTTTTAAACTGTGTATTTATGATACTGTTTTTTAAATTTTTGTGTATGATTATTGGTTATACAGTATGTCTTGTCATTTTGGTTTCTGCTTATGTATGCACTGTGACTTGGTTCTGTTGTGAGCTGTCCCTAGTCCTTGTAGAGAGGGTGCGGGATATAGATAAAGATGATGATTGTATTGGACCACACATCGAACACTTCCCAAGTGTCTAGGACTGTGTGATGTATCGGTGAATAATGTGTGCAGATCCCAGTAAGGTGGCCTTTTGCAGCTGGCAGATGGTAATTTTGTCAGTGCCAATTGTGTTTAAGTGCAGGCCAAGGTCTTTAGGCACTGCACCCATTATTATTATTATTATTATTATTATTATTATTATTATTATTAAAAATAAAGGTATGAATGCCTGATTATTAGCTTATCTAACTCTTCCTGCTATTATCAGTTACTATTTTAACTGGTTAAGAGTGTTTTTTTAAAGGGCATAATAAGAAGAATCAAAACATTCCAAAGTTACGTCCTCTGAGATGTATATTGCTGAGATGTATCATTTCAGACCACGAGGAAAATAAATATGTGAAGATCACCTCATATAAAATATTTAGTGAGCAAGATGAATTAAACTAGTTAGTTCCGAAAAGGTTGGCCTACAACCTTCTCACTATACTTCTGTATTTGTATGGAATATTTGATGCAGCATATTATTGAAACATTTAATCTTTCTCATAATGTGACATGAATGCAGCGCAGGAATAATAGATGCTCCTGCAAATTTGCTTCAGCTCTTACATGTTAGAATGTGGCACGGGCAGGTAGAAATAAAATAGCTTTTCAAAAATAAAAATGTCCTTAGGAGTTCAAAGCTAGGTCCATTTCCAAATTCAATATATCATACTATGGTATGACTTCTTTAAAGCGTTCCTCAAAGCCAATTAAAGCTTAAAAGCTTCTTTTCCCTTACTGAACCCATGCAAATGACAGTGATACAATGCAGGATAAAGACAATTTCAAATACTTACAGTCTGCATTTTTCAATGATTGCTTCTTTTTAGAAGGTTTGGAGATAACTTTGATCCGTTTACTGAGGAAAACGCCAATATCATCGCTGTTGCCATAGAACATTTTTACTGATAACATGAAGTGCTTTCGCTTGTCAGAGTCCGATATGTACAAGGTTTTAGCTGTGCAATAGTTCTGTGGATAGAGAAACACATTTTTACATCTCCCCAATAAAATTCCCCAATAAAATTAATAGAGTTGGGCCCAAATCACTGTGAGCAAAAATATTTTTAGTTTTCAAATGGCTATTTTGGTGTGATTTTCAAAAGAAGGAAAGGGAAGAGAGAGACGAAAAGACCAGTGAAACGAATTCAGAGGGACGCTATTTTTGGAAAGAGTTAAGTCCACAAAATACCTGAGGCAGGGGGGTCTGTGGCAGAAGAAGCCTCTTCCATTTTTTCTTGGAAAGTTCCCTCCTCCTCCAAAGAGGACCCTTAGGACTCGCTTTCCCGGTGGCACTAGCATAGGGTGGCCACTGAAAGTTCCTCTCAGAGCATGATGGGAGTTGAAGTTTTTCTCTCTCACCCTCTCAGCCAATAAAAAGCCTGGTGGTGTCTATGCTCTGATTGGCTAAGAATGGACACAACCGGTGACTACAATACCCAGAACCCTCTCTTACAGTTATCTTATTTTAAAAAATGTTATGTTTAAAACATAAAATAATTCTAAAAAATATCAGTAGATTGGTGAATTGTTTTGAAACTTGGCAGACCTAGGGGTCTACAACTGAGGTAGGTTTTGTGCAGATAGGCTCTAAAATGACTGAAGATTGAACCTTTAAAGTTTCCCATTGTAGCCAACGGACCGAATCTCTGCCGAATGAAACAGAAAATACTACTCCCCTTCGAGGTAACTTTCTGCTAAATGAAATGTGGGATCAGATGGAAACGGACTCGAAAACAGTATGCCTTTTAACCCGAATGCACATGACTACAAATCAAATTTAAGCAATCCTGAAGCAGCTCATGAAATTCTAGTAAAACTACAGTAAAACAGATTAAGGTGCCAAATTGTCAATTCCTGTAGTTTCTATGGAGAATTTCTTTGAGTTTCAAGTGCACGTGTGCTTCCCTTCTTCAACAAGGGAACAAAGAGCACTCTGATTAAGTATTTTCCCATCAATAGTGTTCATTCTATTTCTTCTTTAAAAGACTATGTGGCAATGCAGAAAATATGGAGATCATGTCTAAGTCCACCAAATAACGTCAATCATTTTCAAATCACTCCTTTCTTCACAAGGGTAGGTAACATTCACCAGAATTTGATACGTTATCATGGGGTCCAATGTCATGATAATTTACCAATTTCTCGTTGTATGTGAAACAGAAGCATATGGGACAGATGCATTAGCCTATTTTGTTCACATTAAGACAAGACAAACCAGGAATGCTAGCATATTGTTATATACAAACACAGCTGCTCTGCTGAATTAAAAACTGTCATGTAAACCAATTTGATAACGGCTTTGATCCATGATGAATAAAACTGGGGCCTGTGACACATACAAGATTGAAGGTTCTCTCTACAAACATACAAATAAACAAACTCTAAGAAACTAGTAATTGCCTATCATCATAAAACTCTGTTCACTTTATTTTCAAAAGCTGCCCAGGCAATGAGCATCTTTTTTAATGAGAAAAGTGATGGTTAAAACAACACAAAGACCACAATTAGGCACTTTAAAGAGTTAGACAACATAGCCCATAACAACTAAGAATAACAAGGAAATTAAAAAGCAATTCCTTTACCCTCACGAGTCATTGCATAGCTATCAACAACACTATTACCAGGAAGTATCCTTGAAGGTTTAAGTATGTTTCTTTAAACTTTTCAAGTGGTTTTCAAACACTGCAGGGGTTATATTACCATTAAAAAAAACAGAGATACAGCTATTTAATTACGCAACTTTCAATGGTGGGACAAAGTTCAGCTTGTGCAACCACATTTTTGTCCAGAATAATATCTGGAATGCTTTTTGAATTACCTCTACCTTCAAACATTAAAAACAACCAGGTAAAAGTAAAATAAAAACAATGTTTGATAGATACCTGTGAGTTACCACACAGTGTGTTTAAAAATAAAAAGGTTTACACGTACATATTGATTTCCATAGGCACCAATTAGTCTTCTGTGCAACCTTTATCTATGATTTTACTGACAATGGTAGGAAGGGAGTAACCTTTGAAGGAATGGGGGATCGTATTCAAGGGTTGAACCTGTCAAACTGGTTTACTGTTAAAGCATAGCATTTCAGTAGTATTCAGATGACCTTCAATGCACAAGTGAATTTCTCTAAGAAGTATACAGTTGAACGCAGCCTACCTTTCCTTCCAAGTTTAATTGCTGCATTTCTTGGTCACTATTTCCTATCCCAATAAAGGCGCATGGTTGGGACTCTTGTTCGGAGCACCCATCCCGTTCCATCTGTTCTTTTTTTTTCTTCCATCCACTACCCATGAGATAGACACAGGGAGGAGGACAAAAAAACCTGAAGGTGAAGTTCAGATGGTTAGATTCACTTTTTTGTTGTTAAAGATCTAGGGCAGAGTTTTCAAAATATTCCATACTTTTTTTAGACATGCATCACTTTATGACACAATAATTCAGTTTTACTAGCAAACGAGAGGCAAAACCCTTTGTAAGCTACACAAATGCATACATAATTCTAATAACGAACATACGTCATGAAAACCTTTCATTTACAATCAGTCCCCAGTTTACAAACATCTGCCTTACAAATGACTTACAATGGGGATGAGACAAGAGGAAGTGAGAGAAATCTACCCCTAGGAAGGGAAATTCACTCCTGGAAGAGTTATCATGGGGAAAATAGGTCTCCACTGAAACTTTATCACCAGTCCTTCCACAACAAGGTAAACTGAGGTGCAATCTTCTGAAAAAGGGCGCAGACACTACAAGAAACATCACAGGGGTTAACCCTTCCCTGTGCTATCCAAAGCAGGCATATATGGCTGGAGTTACACTTTAAAAAGGTACATGTTCCAACTTATGTACAAATTCAACTTGTTTGTAACTTGGGGACTACCTGTATTTTAAAAAAATACTATTTTTTTAAAAAAAAATATGATTTGTAAGATAACATCCATTGTCATGTGAGTAATAAACCGGCAAATGGTTTTAAAGGGACTGTTTTAAAGTGATTGTTTTATAATGGAGTTATTGTGTTTAACTGAACTGTGATTTTTAATGTATTGTATCGGCACTGTGAGTTGCCTGTTGTAAGCTGTCCTGAGTCCCTCCCCAGAGGTGAGAAGGACGGGGTATAAATACCCTAAATAAATAAATAAATAATATGTAAATATGTGAAAAAAACGGAAAAAAATAAAATATAGAAATTTTAACTGGGAAAGATCTGCATTTCTCCTCAAAATTAACTCAATTTCAATTTTCAGTATGATGTAACTATAACAATAAGCTTTATTTATATTCCACCCCTCTCTCCAGAGGGACTCGGGTTGGCTTAGAACAAAACAAACAAATACAATAAAAATATATCACAAACAAAATGTACACAAAATGTTGTATTTGTTCTTAGCATTGCTCACTTGGAATACTTAAATGGGGTTAGATAATGAATGTTTAAACAGTAATAAAACTAGACACCAGATGGAGCTCCACACAATCTATTGGAGTCCTTGTACTAATAAGTCAGAACCAAACCATTTAAAGGCAGATGCACAAGATGACTGGTAAGAACACTAAAATTTGACAGAATGTTTATCATACTCTGTTAATCTATACTTCATGAACAAGAAAAGCAATATAAGGAAGACAGCAACACTATTCTATCTGCCTGAACTATCAGAGCAGCAATATCCAAAGGATTTTTAATTCACATTTTCTCTATAACTGCAGAACACAGCACTAGACATTAATAGTATTGCTCACCTCTTTTCATTTCCATAAGATTTCTGTGCAACTTTTGCATGAAGAATTAGGACTGTTTGATCACCACGCTCTTTTAAATAGTTTCTCATAGCTTCTCTAAGGATTAAAAATACAACAAAATTAGCAAATATTACATGTACCTTTAAGAAACACACATTCACATATCATTACAATGCTAATGCGTCTGGTAATTGCAAATATTTTGTCACCATTAGAAATCCTAATATGTGGATCCACAATTTATTTCTGAATAAAGATTTCTCAAATGTCCAATGGTTGACTGGTCACTCTAACAGAATACTAATGTTTGGACTTCCTGGATTTGAGAGAACAGAACAGAAGATGCTAATTTGGCAGTCTGAGCATGAGGAGTCTCAACTGGCTTCTGATTCTGTCCTACTTCTCCAGAAATAATACTGAAGTTCAATCATTCAAAAATAACTAGTGAACAAGTAGGTTAGGCATTTCAACATCTGTACAAGGTAGCAGCTAAAATTATGAGAAGGACTATTAGTGTCAAGCAGTAAGAAATTGCCATATGTTCAAATCCTCATTCCCTTCCTCAGTAAGCACACATAGCCCCCTTCTACACTGCCATATAATCCAGATGACCAAAGAAGATAATTCACATTATCTGCTTTGAACTGGATTATATGAGTCTACAAGGACAAACAATCCAGTTCGAAGCAGATAATCTGGATGTTATATGGCATAGAAGAGGCCCTAGATGGGGAAATATGAAGCAGCCCACTATAATCATACCTAAACCCCTAGGTTCGTGGAAGTGTTTTTTGAAGCCAGAAAGGGACATAAGTGCTGCGCATCTCAAATAGTAAACTAATTGTGGTCCAGTGATCATGTCCTATGTCATAAACTTTTAAGAAGTTGGAAATGTAATAGAAGCAAGGTTTTCTTTCATGAACTATTGTACATAAATATCTTCAATAAATTAGGACACCAACTTTATGACACAAAACATCCACTGAAAAATTTCAGAGGTAATGCTTTTATTACTAAATATGATTGGGATGACTCTGACTTCATGCCTCGCTTAAATGGACTTTATTAAAAGGCCAAATAAAATAAAGCTACTTGGTACATGGTGATCTAGACCACAACCGCTTTGAATGAAATCATGAACCTAATCCTGGATCAGAACATTTCAGGTGGCAGATCCTGAATGGAATGGTCATGTGCTTCCCCAGCATGTATATAATTAAAATGCCAGGGAGAAGATTTAGCCAGAAGACTTTTTGCAGAATATCTAGATTATCATTTGGGAAGTTTTAAGTGGATTAATATAAAACCATGAAACTGCCCACCTACAGTTTGAAGTGGAACACTTCCATGAACACAGCCTCATGTGCTATTTACATAAAATACCATCTAGTTAATAAGACAAAATCCAAGCCATACCTGGTGAGCCGCTTAGCTGGAGGTCGCTCACCAAATTTCCTGTAATTGAAGCAAAAAAAATGACCTTAAATATGTTTTTGCTCTGCTAAATATGTTCAAAGTGTTTAGCCTGTTCTGGATCTCTAGTTTGTAGAATGCTAATAAATGGCAGAATCCTTAGTTACAAAAATAGAGGGCCTTTAACAAAGTTGTAAAAATTGATAGTTATTGAAATGTTATACAACTGAATCTGTCTGAATCAAAAATATACAAATGTTGCTATTAAATGTTGACATATGTCAGCATTTTCCAAAAAAGCAAAAATAGTATGAAAGAAAGAAATTTTAAACTAAGATATCATTTACTTATAATATAAACAATTAATCAAATAATGAAATATGATTAATAAAATAATATATTGGCATGAATGATCAAGAAATTCAGATAGAAAAGAAACTACATTAAAGAAGCAAGCAAGGTTTTTCTCCCAGAGTGCAGTTCTTGTGATGGTATCATCTTCTCATGCTAATTTCATATGAAGTACTACTTATCGAAAAATAACAGCCAAAGTTTTTTCTAAAATCAAATTATGATTATATAATCTATTAAAACTATATCCTCATAGTATGTTTTTTGTTCATCTACAGAATCTTACTTTTTAAAGACTGTTTTTTGTTACGGTCATGGACACTGCCAAACACAAGCAATTGTACATGTGCTCCTACCCATTATACAACACCCATTATTTTTAATGTAGCAAAAAGTAAACAACTTTTTTTATTATAATCTATGTCTTCTCGTTGAGAAAACTCCATAATCAGTTTTAATATCTATGCTTCCAGTTTAACGTACTTCTTGTAAAAATAAGGTAATGGTAAAAGTTTCCCCTTGACATTAAGTCTAGTTGTGTCCTACTCTTGGGGGTGGGGAGGCTCATCTCAATTTCTAAGCCAAAGAGCCAGAATTGTCCATAGATGCCTCCAAGGTCCTGTGGCGAGCATGACTGCATGGAGTGCTGTTACCTATTGATCTACTCACATTTGCATATTTTTTGAACTGCTAGGTCAGCAGAACTTGTAAAAATTGGTACAGTTAATGTTCTCTATTGCAATTTTTCTGTTTGTTTCCTGAATTTATTTATTTACTTACTATGCACCGCCCTTCTCAACCCCGAAGGGGACTCAGGGCGGCTTTATATAGAGGCAACTATTCAATGCCATAAAAACAACTTACAATTAAAATAAACATTTAAATCAAAACCACATTAAACATTTAAAACATTACATCAGCTATTAAAACCACATCATCCAAAATCATAATCCAGGCCAGTTCAGTAGTCATTGAATTTAATGTTTTTACATTTACTCAAAATATTTTTTATTTTGTACATTCTGTATATTTTAGCAATTCAAAATTATAAAGGAATAAAGACACTGAATTAGATGTTCTCTTAGAAGTTCTCTTTATTTTGCATTATTTAAATCTAACAAAATACTGTTGTTTGAATATGACTATCCTTGATCTCTAAAAATATTGTGATAAGTAAATTAGCTTCCTAAGAAAATTTATAATTAAACCAAAAGAACACTACAAACACAGAATTTAACATTCTACATCCACAACACAGTCATAAATATCATAAAGGCACCAGCTCCATTGTGACATTGGAAGCTAAGCAGGGGCAACCCAGGTTAGTACTTGGATGAAAGACTGCCAACAAATATCTGGTACTGTAGGATATATTTCAAAGGAAGGAACTTACAAAATCACCTTGCCTAAGAAACCTATGAAACTGATAGGGTCACCCATAGGTCAACAAGCAATTTGAAGGCATACCCACATCCACAACATAATCTATTTTTAAGTTTCAAGTATATTTTAAGACTGTTCAATAAACCCCACATAATCACTGTTCTTAAATTATTCTGGGATTCTGAATTTTAACATATTCTATTTTGAAATACATTCTGCTTCTTGAACTCATATCTCCATATTATATCACGTTAATTAATCTGGATATACATGAAGGTGGTCTCTTTTTACTACTTTTTCCTTATCTTCCAGCCCAACAAAATATTACTCAGCTGCCATCAATCTATTCCTTGGTCCTGAACATGTATGGCACACTTCTCTTCCAATCCCATTTCATTCTCTCCACTGGCCACTAAGTGATTGACTTTAGACATTGTTAATTCATCCACAAGTAATATATGGATTCTACTGAGAATATTTTCTTCATTTCTTCCTTCCTCATTCTTAGATTCTTGTTTCCCACCTTTTGATTCCTCCTAACTCAAGTAAGCTTTTGTTGTGTGCCTTCAGGTCATTTCCAACTTACGGTGATGCAATGCCTTGGGTTTTCTTGCCAAGATGTGTCCACTGGCACTTTGCTTTTGCTTTTCTCTGAGGCTGAGAGACTGTGATTTGCTAAAGGTCACCAGGGATTTCCATGGCTGATCCCAGCTCTGGTCTTCACAGTCATAGTTAAAAACTCAAACCATTACATACATTATGCTGTCTCAAGGTGTTTTCACGCATTTTTCCACCAGCACAAAAACCAAGTGGTTGCTGGGAAGATAAAATTATCTATTCTTTGTTTCCTTCCTTCTCTCTAACAAATATGCAAATTCTATACAACATGTGATTACATGCAGTATCTATGGTGATATGTTTACAATAAGAGATTAATTTGAAGCCCAATCATCCACATGAACATGTCTGCCAAGAAGTGAGTCCTGCTGAATTCAATAGGACTTCCCTGGAAGCAACAGACACAATTGATTTCCATTTCAGTGAAGTAGTGAATAAGCTTTGGATTGAGTCTGAACTTTAAGGAGTTATCTAGGGTGCTAACCCTTTTTGTGCAGGATGGCATCCAGCACAAACCACTCAGCCCCGAACAGCTCACTTAAAATTCAGATAAAAACTCATAGCATGCCCAGGCATGCCCACAACGACAACGGGACTACTAGTGAAACCATGCACCATTAACATATCATGCATGCACAGGATGATGATTTAGAGAGGTCCATGAAAAGGTTGCTTCTTCTATCAGTCTCTGCCTTGTACCCCCAAACTCCTTTTCAGAAATCTACTGCACTTCTGAACAAAGCGGAATGGATATCATGAATTCTTGGGGAAGAGAAGAATCACCCAAATACAATTTTTTAATGGTGAAACTTGTTCTTGAGATCAAAGCCAGTAATATCCTGCTCATCAATAATCATGGGTGAATATCTGATAAAACATACATAATATAAGAATAAAATATAATATATTAAGTGTATAAATAGAAGGCAGTAGGCAAATACGCATAATATTCTTAGGATTAAGAATGAAACATGCAAACAGAAGAATTGAGTCTTTGAATTGACCTTTATACACACTTGCTGCCCCCCCTCTTTCTTTTCCTCCTCTTCAAACATCCATTCTAATTCAGAATAGCCTACAGTTAGAACAGATGGCCAACAAGAAAGCATGGGCCATGTGGCTTAATTAGGAGTGAGAGTGGCAGAAGCAGTTTTTGAACCCAATTGCAAGAACAAGGAGATAACAACTTCTAAATGAAGCACGTATGTGTGAAAATTGTAGAGGGCAAGCTGAAGAGGCAGGACAGAAAGGAAGGAGGAGTCTTCCCGTACCCAGTTCCTTTTTCATTAAAGCCCAGGTATGAGAAGACTCCTTCCTTTCTGTCATTTACTACAAAGTTCCTCTCCTCAATTCATGACAAATGGTAATCACACTACACACTGAATATTCAGAACAATTCATAAAAATAAAAGAAAAAAATATGGGGGGGAGGGGGGGGAAATGAATACGGAAGGAAAACACCATTTTCATTGAAATACCACTCTAGCTTTACCTTTATCAATGCTGAACACTGACATGTGAAAAATAAGACTCATAACACAGCCACTTCACACAGGCATAATAGGAATACTGCAACTAAACTACAGTACTAATTCTACCTCTTCCATCAGCACACACATATTTCAGGTAGTGTATTAGCACACTGATGGCCTACAAAATGTTTCCATCTCACACAAAGTTCCCTCTCTTAATCACATGAAGTCATTCCTTATTCTACATAATTACTCCACGTAAGTGGTTATCATCCTCAAAAAATACTATTAGATATAAAAATAAGAATCTCTGGCAAACATCCATGTGCACCAAGAAACAAAGAGATATCTATATGGCACAGATAAGTGTCTAAGATAGCATTAAAAATTCAGCAACATGTGAGAATAAAATCATGTAAAAATTGCACAATGATGGAAATTCATCAGACAATGGGGTACAGGTTCATGTCCAGTTTTCAGATAAACGAAGTAAATTTCATCAAGTGGAGAGAAACAGCAGAGGATAAGGGGTATTGGGTGGAAACAAGAAGAAGAGTTTCTACGACCTACAACAAATTGATGCTTTACAACTGCTCTAGAGCATATATTCACTCTACAGAATTTTAAATAGCCAAGTAAAAATATCTGACACTATAAGCAAAATAAAAAGATGAAAGACTGTTGATATCAAGTAACCATGAAAGTAAACTGAAATGCCCAGCTTTCAGAAACCGAGGAGTTGATAAAGGTACAGCTCTAAAAGGTTTAATAATCACTTTCAAATTTGTGCAAAACATCTGAGTTATGGCTAGAATTATGATACATTATGACTAGAATTAATGCACCAAAGTACCTTTATGTTACACGTTTAACCTCCCTGAGGAAATACTCTCATTAGATTGAACTGGTTTTCATGAAACCAGGCTGATTTACACCATCATATTTAAACAGTAATTACGGGCATATTCAGATAATCTCTGAAACCTAAAGTACACATATGCTGGAACATTGGAATATGTGTGGGTACCTGCATATATATGCAAATAACAAAGAGCTACAAGAAGTCACCAAGTTACAGGCATCCAACTTACACATGATTCATAATTAAGAATGGGGTGGATTGTGACAACAGAAAGTGAGAGAAATCTACCCTTAGGAAAGGAAATTTACTCTTAAAAGAGTCATCATGGGAAAAAAGGTGTCTCCACTGAAACTTTA